ATAGAAATTCATGTCTGCACAATTTAAATGTTTACAAACCTACTTTCAAGAATTTAACCATAAGCTTTTAGATCTGAAAGCCTTCATTTCAGTAAAGAGAAAAGTTAAAGACTTCTTTAAAAGACTACTATGGTAACCTGTTTAATTCACTCATCTGTAACCATTTCAGTGTTTCAAGCTCAAGTTCACAAACTGTCCCAATTTTGTGCAATATTTTATCACTCTTAAGATTTTACATTTCTTCATTTTCGGTCATATTTAACTATTAAGAATAACAATTATTTCATTTTATTTTATTTTAAATGTAAAATTAATGTAATTAATTAACTAATAAATATAATTAAATGCCTATCAATAGAATTTAGTTTTGTATAGAAATTAATGTCAGCACAATTTATATTTGTTTACAAAACTGCTTTCATAAATTTTACCATGTAAGCCTTTAGATCTGAAAGTCTTTTTGAGAAACTGCATAACATAAACATAAATGACCTGCATCCAGCCTATTCAGATTATACATCAAATAATAATGCCTTCATAACTTAATAAAAAGTGCCACAGTCACATTTGATTTATTTTGCTGCATTTGATGAAAAGCACAAATATGTAATTCTGCAATGGAGAGTGCATTTAAAATAACATTGACTCATTAATATTTGAATTATGCACTCAGAGGTAATTTTCCTCATTTTTGTCTATTGGAAGATGACTCTTTACTCTCTAAAGTTCAACATACAGCTTAGTAGAATTTGAGAATTTGACATTATAAAGTGTTGAGGTTAATTGCTCCAGTAAAACATTCTATTAGGTTATCCGTTTGTCATCACACCAATGTTTTTTTGATCTAAAAATATTGCACCAGATATTGAGTCTGTTATGATTAAATATTGATGCCCAATTTAGTCTGGGTTACTCTCCCTGTCTCCAGTGCTTCTGGAGAATAGCAGTATTGAGTTCAATAAAAGGAGATTGTTGGCGAGGTGTGCCGGAGCATAGAAAGGTCACAAGGTCAAGTTCACTGAGGGGGTGGGAAAAATGAGCGTGCTGAAGGGTTCTAGTACTGGATATTAACTTGTGGAAGGCCTGCACGTATAAATGTAAAAACAAAAAGAAAACCATTTACTCACTGGACATCATAAAGAAAATGGACACAAGATATTTCACAAAAACATGACAGAAGGCAAGTGATTTGTGAGGGTAAAGAGCGATTTTTTCATTTTTTTTTTCCCTTGATTGATGGTTATGTGAACAAACTGTTTGTTAGTAGCAATAATATATTCAACAAATTTAAAGGAATATTTCACCCAGAAATGAAAATTTGCAGAAAATGTATTCACCCTCAGGCCATCCAAGATGTAGATGAGTGTGGTTCTTAATCGGAACAGCTTTGGAGAAATTTAGCATTACATCACTTGCTCACCAGTGGATCCTCTTAGTGAATGGGTGCCGTCAGAATGAGAGTCAAAACAGCTGATAAAAACATCACAATAATCCACAAGTAATCCACATGACTCCAATCCATCATTTAATCTCTAGAGAAGTGAAAAGCTATGTGTTTGTAATTAACAAATCCATCAATATGACGTTTTTAACTTCAAACCATTTTCTTCAATCCATAATATTGCTTTCTCCAGTGAAAAAGTCATCTCGTCTGAATCAGGAGAGAAATATGCACAGATCAAGCACTGTTTATAAGTGAAAATAGTCCAAAACATTTCTAAACAAATATTTTTATATTTTTATCATCTGTTTTGACTCTCATTTTGATGGCACCCATTCACTAAGAGGATCCATTGGTGAGCAAGTGATCAAAATCTGATCCAACGAAGAAACAAACTAAATTACATCTTGGTTTGCCTGAGGATAAGTACATTTTCAGCAAATTTAAATTTTTTGGTGAACTTTTCCTTTAATGGCACATTTTTACAACCCTGTCATTATTTTTTGCTGGTGACTTCCGCTCAGGAGGAATACTCTATTTGATATGGCTAAGTGAGGAATGTGTCTGGTGCTGGAGGACTTTGACACGTGAAGTGCACAGAGGGGTGCATGTCATGACAGCTCAGAGTGACTATATACCCACAGGCAGCTGCGCACACATGCCTTTATTGATGCCAGTGGTAAGGGTACTGGGAACACATCACTAATATGTGGAGTTATCTTCTGGAGAGAATTGGTGGAAGGTAAAAACATATCAAATTTTCCACACAGCAGTCCAGGAATGAGTGTGTGTGTGTGTGTGAATATTCTAGCAGCAGATGCTGCAGGCTTTGATGAAGTCATTGAGAGTCATGAACCCTTAAGACTGATGCATCACTCTGACAAAGTACTGTTGTGACTGAAGAAACATTCAGTTCTTTCTTTCTTTCTTTCCACTTGTTTTTGTTCCTTAGTTCCATCCATCCATCCATCTACCTTTCCTTCCTTGTTTTCTTTATTTGCTCCATCCATACATCCATCCTTTGTTTTTTGTTCCATTCATCCTTGCTTCCCTCTTTCCTTCCATCCATCTACACACATTTCCTCTGAGTTTTCTTTTTCATCCATCCATCCATCCATCCATCCACCTTTCCTTCCTTGTTTTCTTTTTTGTTTCATTCATTCATTCATTTATCCATCTTTCCTTCCATGTTTTCTTTATTGTTCCATCCATCCATCTTTTCTATTTTTTCCTTTGTTTTTGGTTCCATCTATGCTTTCTTCCATCCATCCATCCATCCATCCATCTTTGTTTTCTTTTTTTCCCATCCATTCTTCTATCTTTCCTTTGTTGTTTCCTTTGTTTTTGGTTCCATCTATGCTTTCTTCCCTCTTTCCACCCATCCATCTATCCATCCATCCATCCATCCATCCATCCATCCATCCATCCATCCATCCATCTATCTATCCACTTTTCCTTTATTGTTTTCTTTGTTTTTGGTTCTATCTATGTTTTCTTCCCTCTTTCCATCCATTTGCCCGCCTATCTATAATCCATCCAAATATACTTTCTTTCTTCCTTTGTTTTTGTTCCATTTATCCTTTCTTTTTCCCTCTTTCCACTCAGCTTTCCTTCATGGCTTCCTTCCTTCTCTTTTCCATCCATCCATCCATCTTTTTTTTCCTTTTTCTGTTCATCCATTATTCCTTCCAGGGGCAGGGGGTTTGTGACATGACATTGACAGAAGAAATCGCAGCAGGAATAGTGTTAAGTCATCAAATATAGGAAAGAGAATATCATATTATGCTGACAGTAATGGACCGGATGGAACAATCACAGTTGATTATTCTTGAGATTGCCGGGGTAGATTTCCATTTGTATCTTAGGTTCCAATGAGTGCGAAGTGTGAACATTTGAATAGTTTGAATTTTGAGATTTGAGACTGAAATTCTTACCATAAAAATTATCTTTGCTGTTCACTTAGATTTGTTCAATTCACATTTGCACATATTATTTTCTTCAAATTTGCTAAATATGAAACCAAATTGATTTCAGCAGGAAGCGTGGAATGGCACGGAATAGTCTATTGTTTTAAAACCCTCTCTTACCACTGTATCTAAAGCAGAGCTGATGGCCTTTTCAGGGAAAAGACATGTGTCAAAGTATTTGACACGGAAGCCTGTAAGTCTCGTCAGCCTTCATTTGCAGTCCGAGGGTGCCGCACACTTATGCAGTAGAGTGAAATCCCTTATCTGCAGACTGGTTCAAGGTTCAGTGGCATTGATGACGGCTCATGACAATCCAGAGGGGACCAAAGGAAAATGATAGATGATTTAAAAAGAAATGGGAGATGTGAATCTACATGAAAGAGTGAATCACGGTAACATTACTCATGTATAAATTAGAAGTCGTTAGCTGGAATTGCTTTTGAGACTCTATAGCCAAATTAATTTTAAGCACAGGTATTACTAAGCCTTGATGTGGGTAGAATGTCATGCGTTTTTAATCTTAGTCAGATTTTAAAAGAGGCTGCTTAGGGCAGTGCGAATGGTGAAATTACTTATAAACTTTCATCTTTTTAATAAAAAAAAACAATATTTAAAATTTGAATGTACTAGTTTCATGGTATGAATGTAAATGGTATGATAGAGGCTTCTTTGTCTACATTATAGATACATTAATCAATTTGTGTTGCTTTAGCTGAATTCCAAATACTGTTTTGGATTGATTATTTTGTAATTTGAAATCTCTAGTTTATAATGAATTATTAAAAACATGTTCATTATTAACCAGATTTCAATGCTTCTCTCAATTCATGCATAACATTTAATCTCAGTTATTCGAAAGCTCGGCCTGATTTCTCCTCAGCATTCACTTCAAACCACAAGAAAACTAACAAACAGTCATTGATGTTGCAACCTATATTTCAGATTCGTCAAGGGTAGAAATGCAAAGTGTTATTTTATTTTTGTCTCAAAGTTTAAGAACTTTTATCTAGAGGCAAACTTTCTGATATCAAGGACACTTCTCAGATATCATTCTACCTGTCCAACTGTCAGAATATTTTACAGGTTTTTTCTCTTCAAATGTTTCGCCGTGATTTTACTGATGTGCAGCATCACTGAGTCAGCCCCTGAATTATCACCACTAAAAAACTGCGTGAGATAGTTTGCTTAAAAATAAAATCTGCTCAACTACCAACAACTGTGAATGAATTTTAAATAAATTAATTTTGGTAAGGCCTTGATGTTATGTGGCATTCATACAGCATCTAAAATAACACTCAGAATTTCCATTAAAAGATTAATTTCAATAGTATTTTCACTTTGTTATTGGTAAACGATGTGCACTGGTCCATCAGTGATCATTCACAGAATCTTTGATTCTTACAGTAGCTGCATTTCCATTACAGATTTGCACAAAACTTTAGCGATATTTTATAATATCTTCTTACAGTGCATTTCCATTACAGATTTGCACAAAACTTTAGCGATATTTTATAATATCTTCTTACAGTAGCTGCATTTCCATTACAGATTTGCACAAAACTTTAGCGATATTTTATAAATGTCAAAAAAACAACAACTAACCGATGCGACTAAAACGTAATTTTTTCCTCTTGTGATAAGTCATGGCGATGGCTGTAGGTTTACGTATATTGCCGCACTAGCTCTTATTTTGAATCAAAGGAGACGTAGGTGTGTGTCTTTCGTAAAGAAGCCACTTCTGGGACGCTTCTGAAACGTGCTGCGGCGCAGCTGGTATAAACACAAGCATTGACTATAGTGGCCGCATCGGTGTCGTAATGCGCCACAGGCGTGTGCAGTGAAAATTATCCACATTAATGGCACGTATGAGGTGTTTCTTGGAGGTTATAGTACATTAAAGAATCATGTGACTTTTACTTATGCCAGGTAACCTGTAAATGTGAAAAAAACTGTTTCCATTGCAGTTTTGCAAAATAATTTTAATAAATCCTTTTTCGAATTGGCTGAAAAACCATCTCATGCGAATGTAAAAACTTTTTTGCGATATATGGGAGCTTTTGCGAAATTGACATGTTTCCATTGGGCATATTTTCTATTCCCAATTTCAATTTGCACAATTTGAAGGGTAATGGAAACACAGCTATTGATGTGGTCCCTAACGGCACACCTTTGAGTCGCATCCATCAAAGACTGCTTCTACGAATGACTGCATCAAAGTGGGGCGACAAAGGCTATTCTATTTTGAAGGCTCCTTCAAATGCAGTCTCGAAATGTGTCCTTTATTTCCTGGGTCATGACGGATACAAGAATCGACCCTCCATGGCCCAGACTATCCCAGGATTCATTATATTGTACCAAGACGTTTTTTACAAATAGTTTTGACTTTTTATTATTTATATAAATTGACTAAGGTAAACAGGCTGTGAATTCTGTTTTGCAGTAAATTAAATTGCAGTAAAAATTACCTCAGGTGACATAATATTAATTTAATATAGACCTTATCAGCTAACCAATTGGTATGTTGTTAAAAAACTGTACAGTCCATTGAACACACTGTACATTTATCCCTCACAGCCTCGTTTTCATTTCTGTCAAAAAACTTGGCGCTACCCTGACTATGGTCTACAGGTGCAGTGTTCTGTTGCTATAGTTTAATTGTTTTGTGCACTGTATTTTTTTATTAGCGTAATTTTCAGGTAAACATTTTTAAATAATTTGAACTTCAATATTTCATGTCCACTTATTTATTTATTTAACGAGCAGACATCTAATAAGCGGAGTAATGTGGAATCAGATGGTAATTATTGCAAAATAATCCCCTTCTGTGTGATACTCGATCACTCTGTGGGGGTTTATTTTGCAATAATGACTGGCTGACTGTAGGCCTACAGTATGAAATCACTTTAATGTCTCTCATGGTGTATTGTTTTATCTGACATGATCAGGAATTCTTGTTCAGGACCAAGGAGTCGTATAATTGCTTTTCTATGTAAACGTGGAACATGTTTAACTGTTGGGCTTGCATATCACACGACACGTTGTTCTAAAACAGGTGAACAGACATTCCCTATTTTAGTGTCCTTTCCCCAAAAATGTCCCTGTGTTACAGCATGTTCAAAACAGCCCGCAACCTGACCAACTGACCAACATAGCCTGCTGGCCACCAGAGCAATCGAGTAGTGATTATTTTCTACAGTGATTATTACTATGTCATGCAATGCATGAGTCATACGAAGTAATTTTTTCCCTATAGACAATACCAAGTGTAATCTCAATATTATTTTGACCCTTGCATTAGGAAATGTTCCCATTGCAGATATCTGTCCACCTTGTTCTAAAAACACGGTGCTATAATGTTAAAATAAATTGTAAATGTTAAAAAGTTTAACAACATTAAAAGTTAAAACAAGTTATCTAGAAAACGCAACTCTAGACCTTGCACTTTTTATCCCATTTCACTATATGCGTCTTGCATTTTAAGTGCAAAAACGTGTTCTGTGAGAATGGCCCCAAAAAAGACTTCATTACAGTATCCCTGGAGTAGGGGTTATGTGTCTTTATCAAGGGCACAATGGTTGTACAGCACCACTATTTGGGTTGAAATTTGGCTTTGAAAAATCATCAAAATTGTGAGCCAGATGAGGGATGGATAGATGGGTGAGTTTAGGACTCAAGGGATCTGGTTTGGTGATGTTGGGAAGGTGAGGTTAGGCATGGGTTCAAGGGTTCAAAGTCAGTGAGAGTGGGCTTAATCTGATGGGAGTTCATCCAGGCAGGAGAACCATGCTGGGATTCATAGAGCTAGTCTTAAACCATATGGGACTTGAGACAGATTGCAGATAGATCCTTGTTGTAGTGTTTTAATGGTCTCTGTCGTGCAGTACAGGTTCAAAGACATTTGGTATATAGCCTACAGGACCAGGTACAGGCTAATTGTCAGGAGGAACAACAATGTTTCATTTGTTCAAAAGCTATTGAAAGAAAATAATTCACACCATGTTAGAAGCAAACACTGTTATTTCAGGTATTTATGCAGGCATGTAGGTTTCTGGCTTATTTATTAAAAAAACTACCTGAAAAGTCACCTTATGCAAAACAAGGCACTTAGCGAACCCAGAAAATGGCTACAGCTTTTAAACTCAGAACAGCTTTCCTGCTAATTGAAACATATTGCTTTGGAGTTTGTGGGCAAAAGGCTTTCCCAGAAATTTTAAGCTGCTTTGAGAACTATTTTAGGAACAAAACAGATATTATTTGTGGTGTAAATTATGACTCCCCTTCACTCTTGTAACTCGTATTTATTAAAATGCATGCTCCAGAATCAGATATTGAAATGCATGTGGTCTATTGGAAACCACATTGCTAATATTTTTACTGCTGCCACCTTTTAAGTTGATGGTTGTTAGCATGAGCAAATGGACGTATTGATTTACGTAAAGGCTGCCTCGGCAGGGTCATAGGGTAACAGGCTGATCAGAATTCTGTGGTTTCGGCTTCTACATCTTGCATATAAGCATTTGGGCTGAAAGATGTCTGGAACAGAGATCTATATATACAGAATTTTATGGAATTTTTACGGTGGCCGAGAGAGCTCAACGCACTGCAAATAGAAAAAACACCTGCAAATTAAGAAAACAACTTCATCAATTTGACAACACACGCGCTGCAAATGGTCACAACACAACCAAATAAAGAAACGTGCTGCAAATAAAATTCTTTATTTGGTTGTGTTGTGAGCATTTGCAGTGTGTTTCTCTATTTGGTTGTGTTGTGAGCAATTGCAGTGCGTGTGTTGTCAAACTAACGAAGATGTTTTCTTGATTTGCTGGTGCTTTTTCTATTTGCAAGTGTTTTCTGAAGTTGCAGCGCGTTGAGCTCTCTCGGCCGCCGTACATTTTGCCTTGTTAGAAGCACTTATTCTCACACTGAAGGGGAAAGCAACTATATAGAGTGGGTGTGGCTTCATTATTGTGTCCATAAGTGATGTCAAAATGGGAGGAGTTTCCCCATTATATTGAGATGTAGAGTAGAAGTGTAAGCTTTTAATTTACTTGTAGTTTTCTGGGTCCTGATGTATGGTGTAATAGAAATTCAACAAACTAAACGAAATTTGCTAAATGTAATTATTTCATATAATTAATCTATTTTCTGTTCGAAAGTATTTTAAAATATAATTTATTTCTGTGATTCATTTCAGCATTATTACTCCAGTTGTCTTCTTATTATTTATCAATCAGAAAATTAATGACATTTATTTAGTGAGGATTAATTAAATTAATTTAAACATAATTGTAACGGGGCTGACAAGACGCGAGACGTGTGGATCCATCTGCAAGCTTTTATTAAAGAGACGTGGTATAACAGGCAGGGTCGAACAATGGCAAACAGGTATATGGCGGGCAAAAACACAAGAATAGTCCCAGGGCTAGCGTAGGGCACCGATCTGCAGACAGAATCACAGGGGCGAGACGAGAGGGAAAAATCCAGGAAAACAGGCAAAGATCAGAAACCGCAAAAACAGGCAAGGCAAAACAAGGAAAACACGGAGACTCGGAAAGGGGTACAGGCTAAACAATACTAAGCCGAGAATGGCAGTTTGAGTGGGTGTTACATAGTGAGTGAGGTGATAAGAAACAGCTGTGTGCAATGAGTGCAATCAGTGCAGTGTGCAAACTGTGCAATGAATGATGGGATATGTAGTCCGGGGTGCTATGCAACAGTTTGTGTTGTGCGAGAGTCAATGTAAAGGAAAGAGTGACCTCTGGTGGTGAATGAACGGAAGTCCATGGACCGAATTCGTGACAATTATATTAAAGACATATGATATTTCAAAAGATTTCTATTTAAAATAAATGTTGTTCTTTTGAATTTTCTATTCATAAAAAAATCCTGGAAAAAAAATGTGCATGGTTTCCACCAAAATATTAGGCAGTAATAATAAAAAACTCGTAATAATTATAATAATAATAATATGTACCATTATTAATAGCGGAGCATCAAATCAACATACTGAAATGACTTACTACACACACACACACACACACACACACACACACACACACGCACATTATTTATAAAATGTTCACATAAGCTATTAACAAAAACTTAACTCCAGTTTATGTATACAGTCCCAAAATTGATCAATAATAGCTAAAATACCAGCATTCAAATAGTTTTGAAAAGCCTCTTATACTTAAAACATCAGTTTTGGAGTGAAATATCTATGTGCAGTATTCAAGTTGAGCAGACACCAACTTTTTCTAAAATTTTAGACATAAAAGGAAGATTTGAGATGGGTCTGTAATTAGCCAGTTCACTAGGATCTAGTTGTGGTTTCTTAATAAGAGGCTTAATGGACTTAACACCATAAGTACTTTTTGCAAGTTCACAGTTGACGCCTTATCAGTGGCTGACTGGCAAACTTTACAGTTCACAAATGCTCTGTGTTAAAAAGGATGCTGATAAAATCAGTGCTTTCCCATTTACCAAAATTTAATAAATCACTTTAAATAAGAATTAAGAAAATTAGGTTGCCCCACAATCTCTTGATTTGCTATTGGCCTTAACAGATGCTGCAGACACACTGAATAAATCCAGTAGATGAAGCATTCTGTTTCTGTTTATGCTTTCTGGCTTTCTGAACACTCCGGTCCCTGTGTAACTGCCTTGGAGGCCCTACATGAAAAGACACGACAGAAAAAAACAGCACAGGTTTAATCTCATTGGCGCAAATGCTCCTTACTCTTGCATCTGGGATTATCATCACTGGTCTGAGAACAATGGAATTTCATGGAAGCTTAAATTTCAGCACATTGGATGGCTCTTTATCCCATTGAGACGAAATGTTTAAATGATGCTTTCACAGGGGAGTGATGCTCTCCATGTTTACAAGAGTGTAAAACAGCTCCCCTGGTTGTGCTGACATTCTCACACAAACAATAAAGCGATTATGCTTTTTTTAAATATATATTTCATTTAGTACTATCTTGGCGCTTCACCTTCTGAGACATATTTGTGATGTGTCATGGTAATATTTGGGTCAATAACATCATGTTAATTTCATTTATTAAAAAATCCATTAAAATGACTGAAAATGCATACAATGATTTGAACACCATGTATTTAATTTCTGTATTAAATTAATTTTTATAATCTTTTGGGAGGCAAGAAGAAAAAGCATAATTAAGCAAATGAAAAAAAAGAAGAAGAACAACAACAACAACAAAAAAAAAACTTAAGTAGTTAAAATATAATATTTTAACAAAACAGCTTATCAATATTCGAAATACTCTGGAACAAAAATCATAAATGAAGACTCTGATGTCTGTCTGCGAGGTCAATACATGTTTTAAAATATCCACCTTTTTAAGACAGGCAAGGTTAGTTCAGGTTGTAAACTGTCATGTGGTTTGATTCCATAAAAATGTAATGTTTATGATTTTAGAATTCTTTATATTTGTAAAAAAAAAATGCTTTTCACCTTGAAAACTAATAATGTCTATACTAAGATGTATAAACTCCCAAGTATAAATATAATGTTCTCTGAAAAAAAAAATAGTAATAATCTGTCAAACTAGGGCACAATTTAATGTATTAATATAATGGAATTTTCAGTTTGGAATATTTACAGACGTTTCATTTTGAATTTTACACTTCATCGCATTGTGTTTTAGGGTTATAGGGTTTTACCTAAATGAATTAAATGTTGTTTATTCATGCCTGAATGATATTACATCAGGTGTATTTGTTGCAGGGTGGATCCAACAACACGATCCCATGAGGTGTTAAGGAGAAAAGTCCGGTCCAACAGCAATCACAGCGTGGCCATGCTGGACATCAACTCAGATTTCATGCTTTATGTTGCAGAATGATTTGAAGGACAGCGATCGCCTTTGTTCTAGCCTGCACCTTTCAGTCTGATCAAAAGTTTGCAGCTTTTGATGTTTTAACCCTATCTTTTCTTTGAATAAATAACCTTCCTTTGAACCATATGGTGTCCTCTCTGTGCCGGGAGGGGACCGGGAGTGTTGCTACTCCCACCTGTGGTTTTAATTACGGCCTATGACGAGGTGAGTCAGCCTGGCAGAAACAGACGTATGGGAGCAGGACTACCGACCCCAGGTGTTTCTCCTTCCTCTGCGGGGATGAGGGAACCGCAAGGAAACAAAGCGTGACCTGACACCAAATGCATGTTTGCTATTCAGAATTATCATCGGTTTTTAAATGTTTTCCACTTGGCAAGAACCATGTCGCACCGTTTGGACACACTCTCAAGATCAAATTCATCTGGGGATGATTGATATTCTGTGTATGCGCTGTACCTCTCCAGCTCCTTTGCCGCAATGATCAGTGGATTGCCGCGAGACCTCTTGAGAAGAAGGGCCGAGCTGAGCACCCATCAAATTAAGTTGGCTTCTTTTGTACCGCCCTCGCTATACATGGCGTGATCCTTCTCTTTCCAACACCCCCTGCCCCTGGAGTTCACAGCTCGTCCGCAACCCCTCCTGTACTTCTCAACACTTCTTCTTTTTCAGCACTCTTGGTTCTCCAGACTTTTTTTCTCGTTCTCTTTATGCACAAATCCTGCTGAGTGTGTGGGTATTTCTGAACATAAGCTGAAAGCCAAACCCTGCAGGTCTGTGTCTTTCAGGACCGGCGCTCAGATCCAGTCTCGTGTTTGTTTCAATTCCATGCTGCATCTCTAGATTTGATTTTCTTTGTCGAGTTAAAAGCGAGACGGCAATTTTGTTGAAATTTGGGTGGATGCAAACGCGATCCATCGATCTCCTTGACATCTCTTCCTTAATATGCACTGGAGCATTCGAAATGAAGGAAAGTATCAAATGAAAGAAACATTGCTACCTTGAAACCATCTTCAAATGCTGTGCTTCTGAAGCTTATTAATTTCTTACCTGACATTGGTAATACTTTGAAAAGTCAGTTTTATTTTTCTGTAATGTATTCTGTGAGGATTCCTTTGAGGCTGTGGCTCCAGATTTTATTCCTGGTGAACGATTCATATGGCTGCTGTATGTCAGATGTACAGGAAGCCTGCAGGCTCTTCCCTGGAGAACTGATGCAGGCAGACAACATAAATGGGGTTGCACAAAAAAAACAACTTTGTTCTCTTGTGTCGAGTTGAGTTTTCAAATTAGCATTACTGTAGCTGTAATAAGTTAGGGTTTCTGCTAATAAAATTATTTTGGTTAAAATGAATGTGATCAGATAATATTTAGATAATATGACTTTTGCAACTGTAAGAATTTATAAATTCAGCAAATACATATGATGTGTCACATTTCTTTTTGGCAGTCTCTAGTTGTATTATTATTATTTTTTTAAAGCTGTGCTAATAATGCTTCAGCTACATTTAATTCAGTTGATATAATGTTTCTATCCCAGTTTGGGTCTTGGCACTGTTCTGCTGGCTTCAGAAACAGTATTTTGTTGCTTGATTCAGATTGATTGTTCTCCTCAAAATCTTCTCTTCATTTGGACACACACACACACACACACACACACACACACACACACCCACACACACACACACGCGCGCGCGCACACACACACACACACACACACAGATTTCAAAAAATACATATTTGGCAGAATGTTCATGCTGCTCATTTCCATACACTGAAAGTGAATTGTGACCAGTCGAGCTCCAAAAATGACTAACTAGCTAAAATTATAAAATTGACTAGGTAAATATATAAAAATTAATATATAGATAAGAATGAATAATTATAAATAAATACATAAATAAAAGTTGCTGGTACAGTTTCTTTGTTTGAACAACAGACTTAAAATGTTATTTATATATTATAATTATTATCATATATTATAATCATTAATTATTCAGTTCAAATCTTCCCCTCTGCTGTAGATTTGTAGGATTTCAGTATGTGCATATTACAATTGATCACACTGTGATTTTTTTTTTTTTTGCAAGACACACGAGTTGCAGTGATTTTTGCCATTATTTATGTCAACACTGGTGGTATCCAGTTTTTGAAATAGTAAATCTTATTTTCATTTTTATCACAAACTATCGTACTGAATGTCTTCAGAAAACTTATAACAGACTAGTAGTCTGGTAATAAAGTGAGTTACTCATGAATTTCTTCTCATTTCTAATTTCTTTCTTCTAATTTTTTGAGGAGCCTGACAGCCCTTGGTCACCATTCACTTTGATTACAGGGAAGGGATCAATGTGAACTTTCTGATAACGGCCTCCTTTTGTGTATCACGGAAGAAAGTCATTCGAGCTTGGAATGGCACAAAAGTGAGTACATCATGACATCATTTTCGTTTTTGCTATAAAAGATGGCAAAAGTGGCAGGATATCTTCTACAGACAGAGATAACTACTTCTCCAACCATTCTATACAGAAGAACAGCAGAATGATCCAGTATTGGCAAAGTTTCTCCATAATTACCTTTAATAACCCATCAGTCGGAACTGTAGTGTGAGTGTATTAATATTCATTACGTATTATGTGGGAGAGCAGTAGAGGATATAATAACAGCTAGCTCTCGCAGCCTCTGCGGTTCTGGTACAGGGCCTTTGTTGAATACGAACAACCCCATTCAAAGGTCATGTAAATGAGAGCATCGGTCTGGAGCTGGCAAGGACCTGCCAATGGAGGAGGAAAATAGTGTAATTGCCGCTTGTGAGACTGATTCCTGACATCCGGTCATACCTGAGTGGCTGTTTCTGTAGCTGAGACCCTTATTCCAATCATTGGCATTCTGTGGGTGGATTGTGGAAGAGAGTTGGGTGCTCTGAAGCACATAGAGACATGTCATAGGAGACTTGTGGCTGTTCCTATCAGACATGTGTCACAGTGTAAAAGCGCTCTTTGTCACTCAACACAAACCTCAGACTGAGTGGGTGCTCAGGGCAGAAAAGAACTTCCCTGTTAAACTCTGAGAGGGATGTGGAGGTGTTTCACTCGCCACCCTTTGAGAGTCCTTTACCAAACCTGATGGATGCTAGACAGAAGCGCAGACATCCAGAGTTTTCGAGGAAAAATCCCTGCTGAAGTTTAGTTCATTTCACAATTTTGATTGCTTTTCATTATTTCTTATTTGAGTTTTTTTTCTTTCTTGGCAATTTATTATTTAACTAATTCTTGTTATTTTAGTCATTTTAAATTCTAGTAATTTTGTGTTAGACGGTTATTAATGAGGCAGACTGGGGTTACTTGTCACACTTTTTCTTCAAGTATATATTTCTCAGGGCAGGTTTATTTTTAAATTTTAAGACTTGGTGTAATTGTGAAATATTATTGTTTTATATAATTTAAAATAACTGTTGATCTTTCAGAAATCATTCTAATAGACTGGTTTGGTGCTCAAGACACATTTCTTACTATGATCAATGTTGAAAAACAGTGGAGCTGCATAATATTTTTGTGGAAACCATGATCCATTTTGAGGATTTCAGGATTCTTTGATGAATAGAAAGTACAAAAGAACGTAAATGAACTGTCACTTTTCATGAATTTTTTATTAATTTCATTGCATCTTTGCTGTGTAAAAGTATTAATTGCTTTCATATAAAAACCTCAGAATGATAGTGTTTATTATAATATAATTTAAATTATATACAGTATGTGACAACTAGCCCCGACCTCCCCCTTCCTCTGGGTGTGTGTGCTGCTGTTGGAACAGTATGACACTGAATCCTCTATCAATAGAAGTCATTTGCTACGATATGTGACCTTGTTCGAGCTGAATTTCAATTGGAGAAAAAGGAGAAATCTTCTACTGAAAGACAAACGTAAAGCATAATGATTCGACATCAAGAGGTCACTTGAAGATCAATGGCTTCTAGGACACTTGAAAGTGAAGACTTCAGCGAGTGTTGATACACAGTATTCCTAAACTATGTTCACGTTGTCCATACAATTGCTATGCAGATGACTGTTTTAAATGTCCTTTGAGATGTTAAAATACTCTTTTTGCTGTTTTACTTTGTTTTAAAGCTTCAAAGGGCACAGCAGCCAGAAATATAGTGTCAGTTCAACCTGCTCACAAAGACGCCTTTCCCAATTTGATGCCAGTTTCCTACTTTTTCTAGAAGATCCATTGCACTGGATGGATCCCATAGAAGTGCCTTATATTTTTGTAACTCAGCAGACCTGATTGACACTGCCTCTGGATTGTCATCTAAAACTTTATCTCTGAAGCAGCTCAAACGCAGTGGTCTGACTGCATATGTGAGAGAGCAGGCGGGTCTTAGAGAGTCACTTTGTAGATTTTTTACACGTACTCCTGAGAGACATGGAGAGCTAGCACCATCTCACTTCCACCCACAGCCAGACTACTCTCATCATAAATAATCTGCCATATCTGAATATCATGTGACAGTGTGGGATGAGCCATTCCTGTTTCACAGCTTTAAACATTATAAAAGCTATGTTAAAATCTCAAATAAGAAGAGCGATGAGGGGTTTGACTGGTTTCGGTTTGATTTGCGGAGAACATAACCTCGCCTTGCTGTCAAACTAGCTCTGATATCGGGGAATTGTTTCTTAATGGTCTCCTGTGAGTTGTGTCAGTAAGGGTTTTAAAAGCATGATCCCATTTTTCAGCTCTGAAAAAAATGCAGAAGATGTTGGGGGAATAAGAAATGTTTGGAAAAAATCAAAAGATATAATGCTTGCAATTTCCAAGTGGTCTCTTCAGAAGTGAATTGGAGCCATTGTCTGTCTGAGACTTGAGAAATCTTGCCTTTTTTTCACAAGCTAGTTTTTTCAAATGTGAAGGTGACGAGCTCACTGAATCAAATGAATGAAGGCAGCTTTAAGATATGACAGTTCATCAAAGCCTGGTGCCAGTCAAAGGGCACAGCTGGTGGGGATAGAGACAGAGCAGAGACATACTCACAAATGGAGCTCAGTGTCACTCAAATAACGACTAAGTGTGTATCAGCCACATTTCAAACAGTCACTTTTAATTTTAGATCATATTAGAGTGGAACTCACTCCCTCTCCTTTGTATGGCACTCAAACATTTAAAATTTTGTAAAATGTAAAAAAAAAAATATTGCTAATGTCTCAGTGATAAGTAAGTGGGGCAGTTTGTGGTGTATATGCAATTTAAACTGATTATTGAAAAGAAAAAATGTAGGGCAGGACTTGGTTCTATCCATCGGTTGTTGATTGGATGGAGGCTGATTGGAAGAAAGGGGCGGAGTTCAAGCAGTTTGAGGAGGCATTTACGTGACACCATTTTCGACTATGAACGTAAAATTTTTTATGCGTTTTGGCCATTCATTTACATGACAATTCATTTTACGGGCCTATGGGTTTCAAAGTGCAAGTTTAAAAAAAAAAATCATATCATCAAATACTATTATCATCTCCGTGTAAACTACAAAAGTGCACATTTGTGAAAATGGTGACGTCATGTGTATTGTGTGTTCAGTCATGCAGGAGTACTTGACAACCATAATATAGCTTTTTTTAGTCGTTTTTGTGGATCCTTGTGAACAGAGATCGTTTTGACAAATTTGTCATCTGTACGCAAAATTTTTCAAAAATGCAAATGAAAAGCTTTCCTGTGTTTAGTACATCGTTTTCATGCTAATGTACCCTAAATGAATGGAGAAGATTGGCATACGTTACCAGAGAGAATCTGCCTGTCATTTCACTGGGTGTTCTGACATGTTGATTAAGAATAGTAAAAAAAAAGAAGAAGAAGAAGAAGAAGAAACTATGGCAAATCTTTCATAAGAAGATCAATAACAGGCATTTAAAAACTATGAGTGAATTCTTCTCTCATGACGACCTTAATAAATATTCTATTCTATTCTATTCTATTCTATTTTTTGTGGAAGACAAAAATATCATTTTTAAAACTTTGCGCAGCTATTATCCATACATCGACAGTTAATAGTGGCTGTATCTGGCCAAAAAAGGCTATAAAACACAAAGAAAGAATCATAATAATAGTAAATTGGATTTGTGCAGTACCTTCCAAGTCTTCTGAAATCGTGCGACAACTTTATGACTGAAAATTAGGTCTTTATTCTTTGAAAACTTTCCTTTGCTGCGTCTAATAAATCTCATTCTTTTTTCTGCATATTATACCTGGCATATCATGCTCACTAACACTCCTCTTTTGATAAAAAAAATATAATGATAATAATAATAATAATAATATGTATATATATATATATATATATATATATATATATTAGAGAGCACCTGACAAGAGATCAGAGACAATTCCTTCATCCAGAATCTCTCCAGACCCTTCAGATTCCCAGCTCCATGATGGTGCTTCTCCTCTTCAGTTCACCACACTCATTTTCTATAGGGTTCAGGTCAGGGAACTGGAATGGCCATAGCAGAAGCTTGGTTTTGTGCTCAGTGACCCATTTTTGTGTTGTTTTTAAGGTTTGTTTTTGGATTATTGTCCGGTTGGAAGATCCAAACATGGCCCATTATAAGATTTCAGTAACTTTTAGATTTTTTTATCTGTTGGTATTTGATAGAATCAAAATGCCATATATCTAAACAAGATGTCCAGGACCTCCAGCAGAAATATAGGCCGACAACATTAAAAATACAGCAGTATA